CTCATTTTTACATATTGTGGCTGTGTGAAGCAGTTGAGTTTTCTTCTTTCACTTACCTCTTGCTCATCTCCTACTCTTAACCTTGCGCTGTCTCTCTCTCTCTCTCTCTCTCTCTATCTACCTTCACCTATCTCTCTCTTTGTAATTTTGTGTTTAAAAGAGATATTTGTCAGTTAATATCTTGTTTTTTGTCCTCAATCTCTTTTCAATACATAGATTATATTTGGTAATTAAAGAAAAAAAAAACTTTGACGAAGAGCTTTAAGAGGATTACCTATTCTTCGTCTTCTTCTCCCAACGTCACGAAGAAAGTATCATCATCATCATCATCATCATCTTCTTCTCTCAGTCTCTCTGTCAGTCGCTTTTTTGTACAAAAAAATGTTAAAAATAGATGTTGGATAGATGAGGTGACTTTTCTATCTTTCTTTAATTAACCACAATTTGTTGTAAATTAGTTGGAATCCCAATTACATGTAATCTTCCAAAAACTACTAAATATTAGGAGAGAATCATACAGAGAGAGAGAAAACAAAGAGAGAGATAGAGAATGATCATGCGATGAACAAGGAGAGCGAGAGAAAGAGAGAGAGAAAATGAGAAAAGTGTCATTGTCATCCGTGATCATAAATTCATTTAAAATTACAAATTGCGCAAATCGAATTGTTTGATCTGATCACAATTTAAATTTTTCTTTTTTTCTCCTTTTTTGGTTGAAACTGATAAAAGATGTTGAATGTTTGAAACTTCCTCGCATCATCCATTCTCTCTTCTCCCCCCCCCTTTCTCCCGATTCAACCACACCTCTCCATCTCTTTCTCTCTATCATCCCACCCCTTTATCATATGAGCATCCAAAAATAGTTTTCATAGAGGTTTTTAGGAACTTTTGTTTGAAAGAGCTTCCAACTGACATAACTCGTGTTTAAGCCTCTTATTGAAATTTTATCAACGAAAAAAGGAAATACTCTCTCTCTCCCTCTCTCACTTTCTCTATTCAGTTCTAATCGATTCTCGCCTCATTTTTTTTCCATCAAACTCTCTTATCCGAAAATTCATTTGAATTGTACTGGACGGAAGAAGCTTGTTGTTGTCAGGAGGAAGAAATGAAGAGAGATAGAGAAAGATAGTGAGAGAAGAAGAAGATGGCGAAATGAGGACAAAAACATATTTCTCATTAAGTTAATCATCTATCACCTTTCGCATGCCAGTCATCTTTGACTTTAAAGTTTAACCGATATGGATATATGGTTATAGAGCTCATGAGCCTTAAAAGGGAATGGTAACCATGGCAAAGCTCTCATATTCAATATTTATTTATGTGAACATTAACATTTTATATTCAATAGATCAGCTTTGTTTGTTTGTTTCTATTGGATTTTTTGAATTTCTTTTGTTTCTTCCTATAGTACACTCCATTCTCTCTCTCTCTCTCTCTATTCTCGCTCTCTTTCTCTCATTTTTCTCTCTTTTTCCATCTGAAGTCATGTGACAGCAATTTATCCCATTGGACTTTCGTGCTCATGTCCGTGAAGATAAGCTCATGACGAATTGCGCATAGGAAAAAAAGAAATTTTGTTCTGTGCAAAACAACTTTTCCATAATTTTCGTTTATCATTTACTTTGTCTTCTTACTTGTCGTCTTCTTCTTCTTCTTCAACTTCCAACTAACTCCTTCTCATCTTCTTCTTCCTCGTCTTCTTCCTTCTTGTGTTTTTTGCCTCTAACAGAAGAACAAGTTGGCCATGTATATATGAATTCCATAATTGGATCGTCGATTCAGTTGATCGAATGGAATAATTTGTCTTTTCACAAGCATTTTTGATTGAAAAGCCAAATAACATAGAGAGATACAGAGAGATAGAGAGAGAGAGATCATAAAAAAGGTTTTTTTTTTCATAATTTCATTGACCGGTCAATAACTGTTGATTATAACGAATTGTTAACAATAGAATAAGTAATGAAAAGCCTTATATGGCAGTTCCAGTTTGTCCTTCGACCATCTCCTTTACCCCCCAGTCTTTCCGACACCTCCTTTGTCCTCCTTTTGCATGCCTTTCCTGTCTCCTTATATGCACCCAGGCTCTCCCCCCCCCCCTTCTCTCTTCTATGTGTTCTATCAAATTTTGTCTTTTTTAATCTTCAAAATCTCGATTTCGTTCATAATCGTGACGGCTGCTTCGCATTGTTTTGCTTCCTTGAAAGCCATTATATCAATTCCGTTTTGCCTTTTTTTTTTGTTTTTGACTTACTTTCTCTGACAAAATAAGGTTTTTTAATATGATTTCACTTAACACCACATTTCTCTCTTTCTCTCTCTCAGTCTCTCTCTCATTCTCTTTCTCTTTACACTTTCACAACCTTGTTCTCTTTCTCTCTATTCATCTCTATCTATAATACTATCTCATCATACTCTCTCTTACTCTTCTAAGGTACTTATTGTCTCAATAACCATCCTCAAGCTAGTCTTCAGACAAAAAAACCTTTTTTTTCTCTTTCAAAACATGAAATTCTAGTCTTACCAGTCGTAGTACCTGGCCTTACTTTCCCTTTTCAACATCAAGAACGGACTTCCTCAAATGCAAAAGCGTCTGTGATCATGCTTATAGTTTGCCTGCTTCTACTCACACCATCATTCGCCATACATATTGTATGTGAATATACAGGCAGATGCAATAGCAACAAGTTGACCGTTCGGAGGTCAAATGAACTTTAACAAAATGAAAATTTAACGAATATTTCCATTATTTTCATGCAAAAGTTCATAAGATAGAGAGAAAATAGAAAAATAAGATTAAATACAGACAGAAAAGACATTTAAGGCACGCTTTTGCATGTCACATGTTGATGTCCGAAGAGTACCCATGTATCATCTCTCCCTCTCTCTATCTATCTCTCTCTCTCTTCCTCTCTCTCTTATACTTTCATCATCTATCTTTATCTATCTATCTCTATCTATGCCGTTTTCTCTCTCTTTTTAAAATATTTTCTCCTCTCAGCTGATTTTCATTACACAGTTCGTTGCTCTTACAGCGTGTCGTTTTCACGTTTTTCAACCCTTCTCTCTCTCTGTCTCTCTATCTTTCTCTCTGTATATCAATCTCTCTTTCTCTCTTCATATTCCTTTTTTTTCCATTTAATTTTTCGTTTATTTATTTGAAAACGGTTGAAGCAGAAGAAAAGCATATTTCCATGTGTTGTTGTTGTTTTTTTCCATCAATTTTCCTTTTTCCTCCGTTTCTCAATCGCTTTTCCTTATAAGAAAAGAGTTTCAATCGGGCTTCGGCTGTCATTTTTTCAAAAGTCAATTAGACCACATTCTAAGCAATTGAGATCAAAAACGACCCGCGTGATCTTGCAAGTCACAAGTACTTCTCCTACATTTGAACTTAAAAGAGAAATGGATGAGAGAAATGAGGAGAATGGCGTAGAGAGAGGGAGAGAGAGACAGAGATAAAGAGAAAGAAAATGATAGAGAGAGAAAGAGGAAATGAGAGATAGGATGAAAGAAAATTTGAAACATTTATTATCGAAAAACCAACCGTTCCATCTGTCTGGTAGTGAGGAAAATGATTTGTACGACGTCATTTACGTCAATCTTAAGCGAATCACGTGAAATTCAAATTTTATGCAAATTAAGTATAATTTTTGTCATTTTGTACAGTTTGTTCATCTGAATTACATTATACATATATCCATATATCCATTCGATCATATATGTATACGTAGGCATACATCTAGACATCAAAACCTGTTTTTGACTATAGAAAGATGAATAAGCTGACGTTTACAGCTTTTGCCTTTATCAGTTAAGCTGATAATGTCATTTTGGAAACGTCTAATAGAAACTTTCATTAACTATATGATCATATAATTATATTAATTATAACCTTTTATAATCAGGATTGACCATCGTTATCCGCACATCAAATCTACATTAATGAGAGAAAGTGATGAAGAGAACGGTTTTGAACATTTCACAAAATGCATTTGAATGGACGACGACAACGTCGTTCATTGATTTTCTGCAATCAGCTGCTTCTCAATATGTTTGATTATTAGAAAGAAAGAGAGAGAGAGCAGAGAGAGAAGAGAGAATGACAAAAAAGGAGAAAAAAAAAGAAAAAGTTCAATCATAATCTTTCTCGTTAGTGATCAATCGTCTTTATCATTTGATCGTTATCGAGACTATTTACATTTCAACAAAATTATCCTTTTACAGAGAATGTATGTATAATGTCTCTCTCCCCCTCTCTCTCTCTCTCGCTCTCTTTCTCTCTTCCCTCTTAACAAGTCAATTACCTCTTTTACACCCTCTTTCCCCTCTCTCACACTCTTGATCCACCTTTTCATGTTATTTTCCCCTTAATACTACTCATCAACCTGCTTCCGCTTTTCCCTATCGTTATCTCCCTCCATACTTCTCACTAGCTTTTCTAAACCTTCATTCCTATCTATCACCCTTTATACTTCTCATCTACCTACTTACATCTATCATACTCTCTTTCATTTACTCTCTATACTCCCATCTCCCTCTCTCTCTCTCTATCTCTCTCTATCTCTTTGTATAGCTTATTGATTCATAGAGTTTGCAAGAAAAAGCAAAAATGGAAATATTCTAATTTGAAATTGATGAAATTCCATCATAAACATTCATGTGATTTTCAGTTTTTTTCTGTATTTTTTACTTGAAAAAAATATTTTTTCCTCTCTCTGATAGCCATATGCGCTGAATGGAACGGTTTTCCTCGTTTATTTGAATGTTCAGACCATATTTGGGATGATTCATAGAGATGAAGCCATCCCCCCCCCTTCCTAACACCCCTCTTTCCTTTTGCCCAATTGATTTACCACGTATTTGACAAACTGTGAACAAGTTATTCGTGCCCTCTTTTACATGTTTCATCATGATCATCGTGATCATCGTGATCATCATCATCTACGTTGTCGTCGTCGTCATCATTATTCTTGTTGATCATCTGATTGTTTGATATATTATAGATGTCAATACTCTTCCATGATAATCCCGGTACATCATTAGGAGATGTTCAGCTTCATAACACTACCGGTTTGTCATCATCTGCTTCTATCATTTCATTTTTTTATAAAAATGTATAATTGCAGAAGAATTCATAAAATCACCTGAATGGTTTGATGACATATTTCCAAATAATACATTCATTGATAGCCCAACACATAGTCAGATTCGAAGCTATTGTCGTGATGTATTAGAATATTCTGATCCATGGCTTGGGTATACTTATAACATATAATTAGTATAATTAATAATATTCTATATAGATTACGTTATTGGGATTGGGCTATTCTTATTCCCAACATTACATTTTTATTATTTTTATTAATAAATTTGAAATGTGTACTTCGTAAGACGCGCGGATCAAAGAGTCCCGTCCTCAAATCATTTTTCATTCTGGTAAGCATATCATATACAAGCTTATAGATGTATGACGTCATCATAAAATGACTTGTTTCAGGTCTATTTGACAACAATAATGAATGTGGTGCGATGTTTCATCTCCATGACTATCACCGTCACCAATCCGTTTGGAGAATTTGTTGATAAAGTCAGTTAGATCATCATCATCATCAGAGCTTATACTCATTTACAGATTCTATGGATTTCCATCAAATTCTTTTATACAACAGCTGAGTTGTGTGTTCTTACCTTTGCTTTACTGTTCGGTAAGCATTTCCTTATATAACCTTATGATGACATATTGTATTGTAGGACAGTTAGACAGATCTGTTAGCATTCGACGTGTTTTATTTATTATTCTAATTATAAGCTTACTACATACAGCTTTTCAAATCATTATTGATATGAAGCTGATTGATGAGGTATTAACACGTATTCATTTTCTCTCTCTCAACGCTGTCATTTGTTCAGACAATAGTTGATGCACACTTCTTCAACCTACATACAGATGGAGGTTTACTCTTCTGGATCTTAACTTCCATCTCGTTTGTGCTCGTCTACTTTTTCGTTTTATGTTTACCGCTTACCTGCTTCCGAAAACTTGTTAATTTGCCAAGTAATTCTATTTACTCTCCAAACGATTATCTGATAATTGATGTTTCAGGCCGATGTTCCTTCTACGGTTATTGCATTGTTTTAGCTTTTCTTAACTGCCTTCAAGCATTCGGGGCTGTTCTTCTACTTTTCAAAGCGCAGGATGGCTTCTGCTTTACAAATATCTCAACTTACATCTTTTTCTGTTTCTACACACCTATTGTCTATCTGACATTCTTGAAGCGATCGCTAAAGTAATATTTCACTTCCTCATAATCGTTATCTCTCATTCATCACATTTCAGACATCCAGCTTCAAATCCAAGTGGGGCTTTATTCTCATACAGAAAACAAAAAGATGAATCTGGGTCTGGAGAGTTACCTGACTCTTATTATCCACGATTCTCAGGTAAGCTTCTATTTCTTCAAACATGTTTTCGACACAACCACATACACACAGATACACACATACAGACACTCACACACATACACTCACTCACTCACATACACACATCTTATCTCAAAAAATCAAAGAAACAATCAAATTAACATGACAAATGACTTTTTATTTTGACTTAATTACATCAAATTGATTGATTAATTTTCGTTTTTAGGACTAACATCTCCTTCATACGATGATCTATTTGATTGTGGACGAGAAGATCGTCAAGATTATGAGTTCAGTCGTGATTATCTACAGTATCCATATGATACACCATTGATGGTCTCTGAAACAGCTGAAAGTACTGTAACAACGAGGACGGGCTCAGATGATTTAGAGGGACGACAACGAGATAGCATGCTATGGAATAATTCGCTTGAAAGAGTTCCAAGACAGCTAAAAGGTCTTGGAGCTAATGGAACACTTGTATTTGAAGATAATCATAGATGGCGTTAACTATGCTATATGATTAGGTATTGTTGAACAGGTTTTATCTCAGGTCCAATATGAAACACTTAGACATGATTCGTCTGTGTCAGAGCTCATTCTGGCTTTATCTATCTTCATACCCTCTTATGGGTGGGAGAGGGAAAGAGGATGAGAAGAAAGAGAAGATTTTTTGAGGGGGAGAATAGCATATCCCAAAAATATATTATTTTGACGGAGTTCATTGAAGTACTTATCAGCTTCTGGCCGATCAAAGACAGCTTCTTCTTCATCTTCATCTTCTACTTCTTCTTCTTTTTCTTCTTCTTCTTCTTCTTCATCATCATCTTCTACTTCTCAATTTCAATCCTGCAGGTTCTCTAGAATAGTATGAGCCGATAGGATTTGACTCATCTCATGGGTTATAGCATCAAATTGATTGCTTTAAATACAAATATACTATCAAATATATTGTATATAATGTATATGTTAACATATAAATAATATAATTAATTATCATCTACTTCACTCCGAATGTTCTGTTCTTGTACCGGTTTCCCTCTTACTATGTGATTTATACGAAATATTTTGTATGTATAAAATAAAAAATTTTCATCTATTTCTTTTCTTTTTTTTTTTTTTCTGTTCGTTTGTCTTCGTCTTCTTCTCATCTGGTATGTTCGTATCTCCTGCTTCTTCTTTTGGCTCGAACATACACACCATACATAGACATACACACATACACATACACACACACTCATACATACTACTCACAGACATATACAGAGCTTGAGCTTAATCAATGATATATGCAAATTAGTCGGAATTAAATCGGAAAAAAAGTATTTTCCTCTTGTTTTCCTAACGGGATAAGAGAAAGTGAAAGAAAACAATTTGTAAGTTATCTCATATTCCATGACCTTATTATAAACAAAAGTTTTTATAAAAACAAAACTTTGGCCTTAAGTAATCATATCACATTTCTCTTTTTACACATAAAACACCTGACATATGCGCCAAAATCAGCTTTTCCATCATAACTTATCCATTTGTCTTCAACTTCTCACTATCACTATCTGACTATTGAGAATATGTAAGTGAAAGATAGAGAGAGAGAGAGATGGATAGGTAGTGAGAGGGAAGGAGAAGTAATGAGAGAGAGAGAGAGAGAGAGATACATATATCAGAGATTTGAAACAAAAATGTATTTGTTTCATTCCTTCCTTCCTTGTTCATCTACCCTCCCACTTTATCCCTTTTAGTTATTCTCAGTCTCCCTCTCTCTCTCTCTTTATCCATTTCTTCGCCTCTTTATAACTTTCATTCTCTTTATCTAGAAGCTCTGTCGGTCAAACATTATTGAGATGAAAAAGGAGGTGAATGAGGATAAAGAACCTTTATTCTAGTCATCTCCTTCCTCACCCTCACTATGTGTGTATCATTTCATAGTTCTCTTCATGTGTTTCCCTCCTAACGACCCCCTGAGTCTTACTGTCTCTCTCTCTCTCTCCCTCACTACCTCTCTGAAAACAACAAAAACCTGTCGATCATTATGAGAGTTTTTTTTTTTCGCTTGAAAGTTTAAAAAAATGAAAGAAAATTGTTGGAAACATAAGACATTCTTCGTTTTACACATCGAAGCTTCAGTCATATTTCTGTTGAAGCAGGCAGGCTTTCTATTCAAATAAAAACCTCGAAATTTCATCTTTTAATCTGATTATCTTAAGCTTTTCCATATTCTTTTTTATCATTATATTGTAATTTTATATTTTGTGTACTTTGCGTCAGTCAAAGCTCAAATGTCATTTTTGGAGCCTTTAGGCCATCTTTTCTTCTAAATTAGTATCAAAGAGAGATAGAACCGAAACAGAGAGAGAGAGAGAGAGAGAGAGAGAGAGAAATATCTAGAGAGAGAGAGGAAGAGATGATCATGAGAATAAGGGGGGGGGGAAGGAAGGGCAACTATATTCATTCAATTCCAACGAGTAAAATCCAAACAGAAAAAGTCATATTCCTTACTTCATCTTTCTTTCACTGTCCCTCTATCCTATACTCTATCTCATTCTCTCTCTCTCACTTTCTCTCTTTTACTTTTTCCATATCTACCACCCCCTCTCATTCTTGTCTCTCTCTCTCTTACATTCCCTCAATCTCTTTCTTTTCTATTTTTTTTCTGTTATTTTCATCCTTCTCCATTGTAGTTCCATTGGGTTGTTTGCTTCTTTGGTAATACTTCTCTTCCTTTTAACCTTTTCCAAGTTCATTTAAGCATAAGATTGTAAGCTCGTTGATCTATGTAAGTAAGTTCTTTTGGAAATTATTTTTATTTCTTTACTCACACACAGACACATAACACACGCACATACATTCATTCATTCATTCACTCACACAGACACCATACGCATACACCATATCTATGATATACAGGTTATCCATATCTATCTAATTAGCTTATGCAGCTTACATATGCTAATTTCATTATTGCACGTCAATTCCCACGTTGATTCATTTCGTTGAATCTGTTAGCTCACAGACCGGTTGAACGTGTTGAACGAAATAATTTTTTTCATTTTTAATTAAAAATAATGAGAAAGATGGTTGGGGAGAGAAAGAGAGAGAAAAGAAGAGAGAAAGAGAGAGAAAAAAAAGAAGAAAATTTTTGTGTTCATCGTCGCCTTCTTGCTCTTGCTCGTGCTCATGTTGGGCTTTCAAACAAAATTTTTTTGTTTATAAAACGTTTTGTTTATTGGAAATGATGATCAGCCAAAGCTTTCTTGCTGTCCCGGAGATATTTTAATTAAAAGATTTCCATTTACATCCTCTATAAGGCATAATCGTTTGGTCGTTTTCAACGAGAAAAAAAAAGGAGTTGCACATTGAACGTCTCTTTCTCTCTGTTTAGTCTTTACCTCTCTCTGTTTCTCTCTCTAACATTCCTCTGTTAATCTTTTCTCATTACCTCTCGACTTCTAGTATTCACCTCTCTTTCTCACCCCCTTTGACTTTTCTCAATCCCTTCCTTTATCCCCTCCCTCCATCATTCCCTCCCTCTCTGCGTGTTTCTAGTGAACTTGTAATACTGAGAGTACAACATATACCTGGAAAAGCCTTGTTCTCTCCACTATTCGCGTACATTTTATTAATTTTTCTTTGAAAACAACTTTTGTTTCTTCAAACATAATTCTCTACAGCATTCATTCAAAGTTTTTTTTTCTCCTGCAAATTTCATCAAATCTTCTCATTGCCAGATGTGGATAAAGGGAAGACGAAGAGAGAGAGAGAGAGAAGATTAGTCTGAAAGAGAGAGATAGAGAGAGAGAAAATGAAAAAATCACGTGAAAACATAATTTGTAAACATAGATAGATATAAGCTTAATTCATTTTAACCGTTTGACCGAAAGATCTATTGGGTAAAGATCTTCCACCCACAACTGTGACTCGTCTATCCCTCCCATTTCTCTCACTTGATGTCCATTTATTTTCTTTTTTTTCGTCTTTTCATCCAGCTCTCTCTCCAATTCAATCTCTATTCCTTGACTATTTATATATTTTGTCTCTTCAATCTGTCTTACTCTCTCTCTCTTGTTGAAACTTTAGGTTGTAATTGTGCTTCATTGTTTCTGTCTTACTCTATGGTACATCAACCTTCTCTAGAACATGAAAACCTTTGTAATCTTTGACGCCCTCAAGCAACAATTGCTCTCTAAACCTCCCATGATATCAAAACCTGATGAGAGTTCAGTAGTGAGAGAGAATGTAAGATCGAGCTTTTAATCTTTTTTTTCTTCTTCTCAAGTATGAGCCTTTTGCCATCTTTAATCCAAAGTCTCTTCTTCAAAACGATTTTCTTCATCATCATCCATCTATCTATCTCTGACCTCGTTCTCCATATATATATGGACATAACCATATTCATATTTTATATATTTATAAAGTTATAATTTAGATTTTGTTATTGTCATCTCAACCTGAATACATAATTCGTTCAAGGTGAAGCTTCTATCCATCTACCAAATGATGTCATATAATTAAGATATTATAGTATAATACAATGGGTTCTGGAATGGCTAAATATTCTGATTACGACCCTTATTATAAGCGACGACGAGGAGCTCGAGGTATTCTTTACCCTTTCCATTCATCTTTCCCTCTTTGTTCCTCAGACCTCTCTCTCTCTCTATCTTAATCTTTCGACGACTCATTCCCTCTATCACAATCCTTTCCAACCTTTTCTATATGATGTTCAATCTCTTTGTCCATTTAGTAAACTCTGATGTGGAAAAATGTTTTTCCAAAGAATATTGTGAATATTGGAAAGTTGAGCCGAAGAAAGTAGTTGGTGAGAACTTCCTCATAAATAGAAATGAATATGGTACATCAAATAAGAGTTATTGTAAGTTCATTTTTTATTTTTGTTTATTGCATAGGCCACAAGAGAGTGTAGATGTTTGAAATGAGAATATGATATTCAGATGAGCCTCGAACAAAGCTTCATCAGCGATCATCACAGTTTGTATCGTCATTTTCATCATCTTCCTCATCAGACAAGTCGTCAGGCTATTCGAATCAGCGTTAACATGCATGCATCTAAGCATTAGCAATAGCATCATCAACCATCAGCCGTTCTAGCAGCAGCAGCAGCAGCTCCATCAGCAACACTAGTAGCATGTTGTGCAGATGAGAAAAAAAAAGAAAATTCCTCTACATATGTGATAATTGCTAAGTGATATTGTTTTGTTTCTTCTTGTCTCTCCTATTCACACATCTTTACATCCTATATCTATCCATACACAGAAATATGAATAAAAAATAAATATTTAATACAAAAATACCCATGAAATACGATGGAGAGAGAGATAAAGAGAGAAGAGGAGATAGAGAAAGAGAGAGAGAGAGAAAGTAACACAGAGAGAGAGAGAGAGAGAAGTGGAGATCATCATCAACATTTAAAGAATTCATCACGACAATTTCCTGAACAAAAAACTTTTAAGTTTTTCAATAAAAATTTCTGATCAATAAGACTTTTGTGGCAGTTCTGACATCTGAAATGATATATGCAACTATATGATATAATATGAATGAGATAGTTACTGAAAACAGGATTGTCTGGCATGCCAATGATATTCCTTATAATGAAGTCGTTTCTCATCCGGCGCTATCTTACTTTCACAACTTTCACATTTCTGAAATATGAATGTGTATAAGCTTAATCATTGTCATCTTCGACTCGTAGTCTTATATTATATAATATAATATATATATAGTTAGTTATACATACTTTAGCATAATGCTCCATATAGCATGGTAAGCAGTATGGCTGCTCATCAACAGCCATATAACGATGACCACCTAACTTCAAATCACACTTATAACATGCGAAATGATCAAAATGCCATGATTTCTCTTCCGCATATGTATATTCATGAGCAAATATAAGCTATAAATATGTTTTTTATATTATTATTATAATATATAATTCATTAATTATCAACCTCATCACAGCCAGCACAACGTGGATAGTGGATATCCGCATAATGTCTTCCACAATAGTATTTGCCATCATTATAGAAATATATCATATCAACAAGTAGTTGATGACATGTTGAACATCGGAAACAACCCGGATGCCAGATATCCTATGAACAATTCATCATACAGCATTGTCAGTTATATGTTTGTAGGCTCATAGCTTACAAACAATCATAATCACTTACTTTCGCTTTACCATGATCTGTGCATACACCAACATCTCCAGAATTCAAACTGTTTTTGCATTCATTACAATCCTTTAACACAATATCATATAGCTTTTCGTATAAGCCTATCTATCTATCTATACCGTTTGTAGCTTTAACCCGTTTAATGCATCTTCTAGCCCTGTTGGAGTTGTTGATGCTGACGGCACCGTCACAACCGTACCTACACCAATTGCCTACAAATTAGCATAATTGCCTTAGGCGGGAGCCATATATATAATTACATTTTTCTTAATATTCTCAATAAAACGTTGTAGTACTGGTTTGTCGCCTTCATTAACAAACCGGGCATCTTCTATATTACAATCGTACAAAGGTAGCTGAAATTCATAGTGTTTGTCTCTCTTTTCCTCCTCCTTCACAACCAAACCTGAAATTGAAGTCGACTTTTCCGGTTTTGCTCTCCCCCAGTTCCTAATATTGGCCGTTCAATTTCTGGCAACGCCATCATATATTTCTCGACCAGTAGCTTATCTGGTACTGGGGCCCACGAATACTCGGTTGATTTCTAAAATGAAATTCATTTGCTTCATTCACACACACATACACACAGAGATACATAGCTCTATGTATACATGTATATCCAAACAACATAATATCATTCTGCTATATGTTCACGTCAAAATTTCACGTGGAATGTATTTTTCATTCATATGATAGCCAATGCATGAGTCGGTTGTTTTACTTACCACATCGTTCCGTTCCTCATCAAGATTCGTTTTGAAGTTGTAAACAGCTGTCACATTCTTTTTTGCTATAGGTGAGGTGGCAGATGATGAAATTGCTGAATAAGGCTTTAATTACTATTTAAAATCTTCCCAAATAACCATTTTTGTCATGTTCTGAACTTTTCAAAGCTATTAAAGGCTTAGAAGTGCTTTCAAAATGTTCACGAACTCCAAACAATCGGCCTGCAAAAGGAAATAGCAAAGTTGGGTTGGGCGGTGAGAAAAGAAAAATTTCTTTTTTTTTTTTCTCTTTTCCCTTTTTTTTCATATCCACAAACCAATTATTATTTGACCGTGATCAAACTCATTCGGCAGTTGCACGTCATGTTCGTCCATTCGACAACCACATGTTTTGCATATTTTTCTGAAAATATGAAAGATGAAGATGATTCGGAAACAGCAATGAGACAATAACCTCCAAAAATGTAAATCTAAGCCTGAACAATCGCATTTCCGGCAACGTGATCCAGCACCAATTTCGTGAGCCAGAACATGCTTAAAAGAATGTAAGTTATGTGAAATAACATTAAAAAAACAAATGAATAAAGATGAAATGATGTAACATACTTCTTTACGTTCACCAAGCCGGAAGATGTCCGGATTCGTCTTAAAACATGGCTTCACCTCAACAGATGAATTTTCAACTTCTTGCATTAATATATTGCTTTAGTCGTCTATTTATGGAGTCTTAACACTGAATAATATAATATAATAAAGATTTGGACATGTCACACAATGCAAATGTGGTAAAGAGAGAGGAATGAGATTGACAAACAGATTTCCGGAAAAAAGACTGTTGGTATAATGCCACGATGAAAGAATAGGCAAAAGGTGATGAGTGAGAGACAAAGAGTAACGAAGAGAGAGAGAAAAGAGGAAAAGGATTGACAAATGGAGAATAGAAAAAGAGAGAATAAGAGAATAGGTGGCCATATATAGCAAAAGGCTGTTGTGTATGTGTGTGTGAGTGTGTGTGTGTGTGAGGGTCTGTGTGTGTGTGTGTGTGTGTGTATGTGTGTGTGGTGTAGAGAAAGAACATCATCAGTTACAACATTTTGGAGTCTCAATAGCTAATGCTTAAGAGCCACCATGGCATTCTCTTCTATTCTTTCTCTCGTTGGCTTATTACCATTCTTCAAAATATTTCCTCTTCAAACGTTATTGTATGCAAACAATTTAAAATATCCTTATATATAGGAAAGACATAGATTTTTATGAAATACAATGGCTGAAAGAGTTCACACACACACACAAACACACACAGCCACCCACAAGAAGAAGGATTCGTAAAGCTAAAGCAAGATTAGTAAAGTTACAAGATGAGGAGCAGCTTGCAAGCGAAACAAAATGAGGAACCTTTTAAGGAAGAAGAAGGAGGAAAAAAAAAGAAGCAAAAACTGCCAAAATTTGGCTCCAGGCTCTTGCATCTTTCGATTCATTTTGCTCTCTTGCAGCCTTGTCTCTCACTCTCTCTCTATTTGCAATTTTGTTGACCAATCTATCAGCTAAATAGACGATAGCTTTCTTTTCCATGTGAATAGTAGAGAAAAGCTAGTAAAGCTATACTTACGAGAGTGTGAGAGAGAGAAACTATTGATGGACGCTGGCTATTGAAGGAAATACGAATTTGATGAGCAAAAATGACAACCTCATGTAGTTATGTAATAGTATACAAGTTCATTTTATATTATATAATTATGATAATAAAGATGTAAGCTTTGAAAATGTCATACGAATGATGAGAATCAGCATAAGCAAGACGTACAAGGAGAATTATAAAAATACAAATAACCACAAAGAGATAAGTAATAGAGTTGTAAACAACTGAGGCTGAGATAGAAGAAAAACAAGTAACAACGATGGATTCTTCTAATCTAATCATGAAAACATATTTATAATTAGCTGCTTTTACTATATTTTTTGTAAAAAAAAAAAGAAAAAAAAGAGAGAGAAAAACGAAAAAGGAGAAGGAGATGTGAGTCAGTTTGTGAATCAGTGCTAGAAGGAGGACGACGACGACGATCATCACCATCACCAACACCACAGAGGAATTTTTGGTGATTTTACAAAAGACTTCTCCATTTTCTTGAGTGAAAGAAATGAAAGGGAAGAGCAAAGTAAATGAAAACTCAAATGAATTGAAGAGAAGATGATGGAAGAACTAGGAGAACAAGAAGATGACGACAACGACAACTATGAAGAAGACGAGGGAGAAGAAGGAGATGGGGTAGAGGGTAAGCGAATGAAGAAGAATCTGTCGTTTAACGTATCATGGAAATAGTCCAAATTTGAATTGTTTGCTTACGAACAGTTACGATTTTTGTTTAAAGATGAGATTACAAACAAAAAAAATTTATTTCAGAACTGAATATGAAGATCGATCAATGATGGAGGTGAGTGAGTGATTGCGAATGCAATCATAGCAGTCTGATAAGACGAGGAAGACGAAGGAAAAGCAGAAAAAAAAAGAATTTTTAATCTTTTTTTAGTCTTTCTTTTATTATTTTGATATAGACGAACATCCGATGATAGACGTAATAAGATGGAATTTGAATAATGGTAATGGAATAAGATGTCCTTCACAGATATAATCTCTTTCAATCCCATATCGGTCAATAAATATGAAAAGAATTCCATTGACCTCATGCCGTATCATTTGAACTTTTAACTTTTTGACGTTCAATTTGTGTTTGTCTGATGATTGTTCTTCATAAACATACTTGCCATCATCGTCATCGTCATCTGTTTCATGAGCTACTACTGTTCTTGCAGATTGTACTTGGTGCTTGCAACCTTCTCAAAGTACATAACTGCTTAGCTATAAACGTTCTGAAACAGAAATATGCGATACATTGCAAACATTCTCGTTTAATCCTTCAACAGCAAATGATAGTTGCAATGAAAACATTTCCGTCGCAACTTTGACTTTCTCTTCTCCAAAACCAATGATTCAGGATATGATGAGATCATTTAAGGTCAGCCTGCTAACTCAGAAAAAGCAAAAATCATGTTTTGTTGTTGAACGGTTCTTGCCAACTATTCAACAAAGTTCTTTCAGCTAAAAATATCCGAGGAGATATGTACTCAATTGAATATAGACGTTATGTTTACCAGTTATTATGAGGTGCCCATCGATGTTCAAGCAACGAATTAACTTTGAGCGATCAGGTGTGAACAGCGTTCAACATCAGCAATGTCCTTTTATGATTCTTCTTTGCACACCTCATTTTTCTCACAAAATCATTTCAATTCATTCTTCTTTTATTTGTATGAGGGAGTAAAGGGAGAATATTCATTAATTGTTAATAATTCGAGAATTCTTCTCACTTCTGATTTTGACATCAACCTCCCGCAGATACGGCTCATCTTGATATTAGAGGGATAGACGTACGCATACGCGCTCAGAGTAAGAGACTTCTTTTAAGAAGCATAATATACTGATATGGAAACGAACTGTTTCCAACAATTAGCTATAAGGCTTGAATCATTGGATGCTGAAAATGTTATTTATTTCGTTTTGTCTTCGTTTTTATGAGATTTTTACAAAATTGGACAAAACAAGGTTTTAATCTTACTCTCACACTTTGTTGATCAATGCAGTGAATGACTTTACGGAATCCAAATGTCACAACTGATCCCACCTACAACACTGGGAAAGTTGTCTTGAGATATCCAGCTCAAATCCCTGGAGACTTTGAACTCAACTCGAGCTTTCAAGGCCGGAGCATTGAAAGTGAACTATTCCTTCTACTTCTTCTACTTTTAAAAGAACCGTTGTAATCCTGCAAAAAAATTAATTCCATTGGTCAATACCGGAACGGGCTTGCAGTTCTTCACGAGGCAACAATCTCTCAAAGTTGGAACGATGTGAAAGCCTTTTTCCCATTACTGTTTCTCTGATCGAAATGAGTAGCCAGGTTTTCCGTCCCTCTATATATTCCTTTTAGAGGTTTTTCAAGAATGGAGGAGGGATTCAACTATAGAACGAACATATCTTCAGTCAAACCTCTTCTGAATTATAAAAGATAGGTAAAAACTGCGGCTTCTCCACGTTTTCAGTCTCCGAAGGAAGGCGACGAAAATACAATTGTGGTGCTCAGAGTCTACTCAAGAGCCACGATGATATAAGACCATGATCGTATGAGAAAAATTTTATTTCATTCTCCCATCAGAGATAACTAGTTGATATCAACCTTTCAACTCTATACGCTGTTCATTCAGCTTTCACAAGGAGGTTATTATATCCTCACCAATATATTGTCCACATTGATAAACGAAAGTGGATAAAGGAGCTGCTGAAGTGGTCCAGCCTTTGATATCTGAACTCACAAGAAAAGCAAAAAGTACTCAATCTTAGCCTAAGGAAGGGGGAAGGATAAGGATGGCGCCAGTCGGGTGAATGAATGAAAAAAAATTAATTTGATAAAGATGAATTGAGATAGTAAAGTTAAATAGTTTGAAAATTATAGAAGTGTGTTTGAAATTTTGCGCTGTGTGTCTCGAGACCAGACGACACGGCCACTCTCATACGAGGAAATTGCAGTTCCTTCAAGTAAGAAAATAGTTACCCAAGAAAATCAAAATAGAGAAGAAAACGGAGGAGCAGCCAGAAGACCATATTGATGATACGAAACTACAAGAATTACAAGAGAAAAAGAAAATTGGATGAGATAAGGGGCTCAATGCTGTCGGCGGACTGAGCATGTAATGAGGTTCACGTGAAGATTTATTTTTATTTTTATATTTACCGGTCATTTTGAATTTCTTTGTTAATTTGTACTATCAGAAACCGTATATGGCATGTTCTGTTGTGGCTGAAGTCATCATTTGATCTCTGTTTATCTCGTTGTTTGATTGTTTATTTCGTACTCATTCTCATGTTCTTTTCCAGCCTCATTTCCAATAGTGCCAACCAAACTATATTCGTCTTTTCTCAAAATGGTCAAAACAGGTTAGGCAAAGTTTTATTTTTCTAATCTATCCTGAAAAAATTTAAGAATTCAAAAATTTTTACTTTTCATGCGTGGAATTGAAAGTGCCTCGCGTGTACGGTAAGAACATGTTAATGAACATGAACGAACAGAGGTGTGCTCCATCCTACAGTACTTGCAAGAGAGGCTCCCGTTGTTTCACCACACGCAAGCAACCAAGGTACTGATGTTTTCGCATTTGGTTGAGAGAAAGCGTTCATGTAGTGTGTCAGGACAATCATCCCACTTGTGAATACTGGGCCTCTAAGATGGATGTGCATTGAGATCAGAGTTCGTGATCGAGAACTGCAAGCTGTCCTGCGGGTGAGACTCATCTGAAGTCTTTTTTAATTTTAGTTTTAGCCAGTGCGACCTTCTGAACATGAAAGCCCGTCTAGATCTCAGTGGCTACCATAATCAACTTCGAGAGTTTAAAAGCTCAACTTATAAGGAATCTATCGAGGTCAAGTAATATAATACTTTTGATCTATAACAACGAGTTGCTGTCAGTTCCTCGGAAATGGTAGATTTCAAGTTAATGCGTTAGCTTCATAAAGCCAAAACTGAATTTACTGGTGTCTGACAGAAATTCAATCTCATCTATGAATAGACAATTCTTATCTGACCTACTTTATGCACTCTAGTTTTCAAAAAAACGATTACCAAGCCATGAAAGACCTCCTG